ATTACACGATATTCCTGTACTTTACTGAGAAAGAACTATCGTCACTGTCAGACTCTGGGTCAGAGTTGCCACCTCGCCTTCTTTTGCATCTATCCACATTTTTTCTCTTAGATCAACTGTGAGACATGTTGATGGGTCCCAGTTTCACATGTAACTCCGTGACGAGCAATCGTCGCGCACAACAACAGCTTGGAGGCTAATGAGGCAATGATTGAAAACGTATCTGTTAATGCAATGTACTTGTTGCAGACATGTCTGGCACAGGTCTGACGCTCTCAGGGACGTGTCTGTGTAAGAGTTATATAAGGTACCTCTAAACATTGGTGACAGGGAGTAGTAAAGCTTGGTGGATTAAAATCTCTTTATTGATAAGAGTTAGCACACGTAGTTGTTAACACTAGGATGACAAGGCTTGGGTTAAAGCGAGGGCGCCTAGGTCAGACGGCGAGCCCTGCCAAACGGCAACCTGGCCGCGCGGTTAGACGTGACCCAGAACACTCTGCCTACAGGGGTCACCTGCAGGATTTAAATATCCGAGCGTTGGCTTGGAATCGAGGGTAGGTCGCGTCACCCAAGCCACGCTGTGGGCACGTCGGCTTGGCGTGGGAACGCCTTGTGGCGTGGGTCTTGTATACAGTATATTGTATAGTCTGGTACAATCTTCAGCGGTCTGTCATCAATGTATAATTCATCATGTTGCATAGTAAGAAAATTGCATACTAAACTGAGCATAAAAAACTAGATTTATGGAAAAAACAGGTCACTGAAAATAAAGATCTAGACTTAAAAACCCACGGCGGGTAACAATGCTAGATACATTTTTCTTAAACAGTACCGTTGCTGTGTGTAACTCAAGTAGTTGCACGAGAAAAGTTTAACATCAACGAGTAATGAGTTAAACTGTACATAAGGCAATGGGAGGTAAGGTGCCAACCAACTAGTCCGCGAGATATATCGTATTTTTTTTTCCATAGTATCAAGTGTGCGATTTTTATTAGTACCATAAACATTAGCAGAATTTGCTGTTTGTGTAGCGGGTTGATCACCATTTACGGCCGTATTATTAAACGTACCCTTAGGGCGGGCTTTCTCCAGAGTCAGCTCCCCCACACATTTCCTCATTATGAGTCTCCGCATAGTATTGGAACAAATGCGGGGCAGCTAGGAACGCCCGGCACCAAGGCCTGCTTAATGATGATACGCTTGTTTTACTGTACGACGTAAAAAAAAAATATGTATTTTTTTAAAGACTAACGTTGCACCATTTCGGGAGGTCTGTACCGCTTGAAAGCTTCTCCATAGTTTTTGCGATGTTTTATTACCAGAAATTACAGTAATTACCAGTTTTAATGACTCCCATCCCACATATATGCGCTTAATATATATAACTATATATATATATATATTATATATATGTATATATATATATATATATATATATACATATATATATATAAATATATATATATATATATATATATATATATATATATATATATATATATACATATATATATACATATATATAAAGGCCCGAAATTGCATTTATTGCATGTTTTGTTAATTTAAACTTTCATCTATAACGTAAATATCGATATATCACAATAATCGTTAGTTTAATTATATTGATGCTTGTTTTATAGATGTAAGTTTAAATTAACAAAATTCTATTTCGAGTAATTGGACGCTCATGCCTTCATATGTGTAGGCCTATGTATATAAATAGACATATAGGTTTATACAATATATACATAAATACACATTTATATGTGTGTGTGTGTGTGTATTAAATGACAGTTGATATTTCAGTTGTAAGCTTTGACACTATTAAAACAATAATGCGGAATGCGTATGCGAGCCTCCCCGCACCCCTCCCTGGGAACTGAATTTCGGCCGCACCAGCGTGTTAATGATACGGGCGTAACTTAATCTCATGGTTTGGGGTTTTCAGACTAACCAGTTTTCTTCTTACAAACAATGTTTTGGGGACAAAGTAGTGACGCGTTTAATCCCAATATTATTATATCTTTGTGTATTATGTTATCATGCCCTTTTGAATAAAATAATACGCCTTAGATGCACAGTGTGTGTGTGTGTGTATTAAATGACAGTTGATATTTCAGTTGTAAGCTTTGACACTATTAAAACAATAATGCGGAATGCGTATGCGAGCCTCCCCGCACCCCTCCCTGGGAACTGAATTTCGGCCGCACCAGCGTGTTAATGATACGGGCGTAACTTAATCTCATGGTTTGGGGTTTTCAGACTAACCAGTTTTCTTCTTACAAACAATGTTTTGGGGACAAAGTAGTGACGCGTTTAATCCCAATATTATTATATCTTTGTGTATTATGTTATCATGCCCTTTTGAATAAAAATAATACGCTTAGATGCACAGTAGTGTAGTCTATTCACTGAAAACCCCTTGAGTAATTTCTCGGGAGACATCCGGTGGATAAGACCACAAACAATTTTGAATTTTAAAATCAACGTCACCTAAGATTCGAAGTCAATTATTACGTGGCTTGTTAATACATAATATATATATGTATGTATGTGTATATATATGTATATAGTGCGTATATCTGTATGTGTATGCGAATATGTATATGTATATATATGTATATATGTATATATATATATATATATATATATATATATATATATATATAAATATATATATATATATATATATATATATATATGTGTGTGTGTGTGTGTGTGTGTGTGTGTGTGTGTGTGTGTGTGTGTGTGTGTGTGTGTGTGTGTATGTATATATATATATATATATATATATATATATATATATATATATATATATATATATATATATAATATATATATATATATATATATATATATATATATATATATATATATATATATATATATATATATATATATATATATATATATATATATATATATATATATATATATATATATATATATATAACCGCTCGTCTCTCTCTCTCTCTCTCTCTCTCTCTCTCTCTCTCTCTCTCTCTCTCTCTCTCTCTCTCTCTTCTCTCTCTCTCTCTCTCTCTCTCTCTCTCTCTCTCTCTTCAAAAACACACGCACATAATCGTGGGTGTTTACCACTGCTCATATCATGCCTCACAGCTACATTACGCCAAGAGGAACCAATGGAATGTATCTGGTCACTTGACAATAGACCGGAAGGAGGGGGGCGGAGTGGTCACTTGAATGAATGACCTGAATGACCAAGTGAAAGCGATTTCTATTACGAAAATGTTTGATTTTTTTTTTTTTTTTTTTATTTGCCTATTTCGCCAGCCTTTGATAATTTACGCATATACACGTAGACATATACTTATGTATATATAAACACACGCATTGTACATATATACGTATATATATATATATACCATCTATCCCATGACGTAACGTGACGCAATCAGCCACCATCACCTGCCAGTCTTACAAGGACGTAAGGTCGCTGTTTTCTTATTTTTGTTTTAATGATTATTATTTATTTTTTCATTATTATTTGTTTTTTTTAAGCTCCCCCCCCCACCGGAAATTCGACATTTTACATAAATGAATATCAAATAAATGAATATCAGATAAGGGCATTTGAAACAACCTCGGCCGCCGCGAACCTCAGACAGGGCGCTAGAAGGGTTTTCCCACAAAGCTGACAGGGAGATTCCCGCACAGACTCTTAGATTAGTGGGAAAAAGGGGTTAGTGTGTAGAGGGAAAAGTTTTACACACACACACACACAAAGTACACACACACGCACGCACACACACACACACACACACACACACACACACACTTCTCCACCCATGATATAACGAGTGCATGAGGTTACGTCATGCATTCTCTCTGAACCTGGATGACGGATGCACCTGTAAGGAAAGAAGTCTTGAGAACCGGAACCAAGCTCACACTAAGCACTTCTCTTGAGCGCGGGCGGGCATGAGAGAAGGGTTACGGCCATGTTACAACAAGAGAGAAGATTATGCCGCACTTTTTTTTTGTCTGAAGCCGAGTGACTGGCTATGCCCATAAAAACTCGGTCACGTAGGGAGTCTCATCCCCGACAGGTCCCTGATAACACGCGTGCACTTCGATGCTTTATGCGGATTCTAATTTCGGATTTCGAGTCGCATTGACTAGTTCACACGTAACGTACGGATTTCATAAGAGTGAAAATGTTAAATAATCCTTCTCCATCGTCTATTATGTAGAACTAATTATGTTCTTTTATCAATTATGAACTACAAATTATTATTGGGTAATGTTGTTGTTGTTTTTTAATCAGATATTGTTAACTACAAAGAAAACATCTAAATACATGAGATGTGTAAATACACGGTACTTGTATCGCTGTCACTGCCTACAAGATATTAAAATCTGCGAAGACCCAACTCTACCTGTCCTCTCTTGCCCTACTTTGTATGTTATATATTAAGATATATAAAATTGTTTACATATAAAACCATCGGTGCGCGCTGATAGAGAAACGCCATGTGACCAGCGTTTGTGACTGCAATACACATGGAATTCTCCCAGTGTAAAAGTCATAGATAAGAAAATAGTCTTATCTCATAGTCAGCAACGAAGGCAAAAGGCTATGACACATATTCATTTGACAATGGAGTCGTATTATAATAAATAGAAATTAAATAAAGCATTTATGTTATCATATTCTCTGGTACAAAGATTAGATAAAGACGAAAGTGTTTTTCATCGCTCTTATCTCCTGCACCATCAGGGTTAATGGAAGGACTGATAATCCTTATTTCTCTTCATTTTTCCTATTCTCCTGGTTCATTGTCTACGAGAAGTTACAACCAAATCAACATCAACACAACAATAACAAACACAACAGAAATAAAACAATAAATACAGACGAACAGAATTCCGTGCACATATTACTCACTAAATGTTATAACTTCACTTCGTATTGTATTTATTTACCATCACGGTATTATATCGTGTATAATCAGATTGCCCTAATGGACAAATAG